GTAAGAGATGATGGGTTTGTTTCTACGTGTAAGAGATGATGGGTTTGTTTCTGTGTGTAAGGGATGATGGGTTTGTTTCTGTGTGTAAGGGATGATGGGTTTGTTTCTACGTGTAAGAGATGATGGGTTTGTTTCTGTGTGTAAGAGATGATGGGTTTGTTTCTATTTGTAAGAGATGATGGGTTTGTTTCTACGGGTAAGAGATGATGGGTTTGTTTCTACATGTAAGAGATGATGGGTTTGTTTCTACATGTAATGGATGATGGGTTTCTACATGTAATGGATGATGGGTTTGTTTTTACATGTAAGAGATGATGGGTTTGATTCTACGTGTAAGTGATGATGGGTTTGTTTCTATGTGTAAGGGATGATGGATTTGTTTCTACAAGTGAATTAAAAGGTAAAATTTGGTCTTAAGTTTTTGAAGGAGGATTTGTGTTGAATATTTTTTTAACATTTATTATAGAACAAATAGCTTACAGATGAGATTGAAGAAATACTGTATCAATGTTAAAACAAATATATCTTGATGTGGATGAAAGTTAGAAGTAAAGTCAACAACGGGTTTTTACTTAAAGTATATGGTAATTAGCTATTTTTAAGGACGAAGGAAGTGGTAGGTTATAAATATGAAAATATCTTCTTTTGAAATTATGCATAGTTTTAGTTTTAATTGTAGTTAATGGTGATAAACACTTATCTATAAGCTATTACCAAATTAAAATGTGCTAAATATAGCTATAACCTGATGATTATTGGCATATTAATGGTGTGATTTGAATCTAAGAACAAATATACACGTGCAGATTAGAACAAGTTGTGTCTGTATAATACAGAAGTAGAGTATTCAAGCTTTTCTTAATTGGCAAACCATGTGACAACTACAGCTGATATAAAGTTAGGGTGGAATGGCATGTATCATAACTACATTTTGACATTGTTTGCTATTATGGAGGAAGTTTACCACTGAAAATTGGGGAGAGTAGGTAACAGTATTCTCTAACACATGTAAAGATGTGTTCAGGTTGAGTATTAGCTGTAGATTTGTTTTTCAGTCTCTTCTTGACATAGTAATTAAAATGTTCATTATCATAGTATTTTCTGAAAGTTTAAAAAATCTATTAATCATATCTGTTTTTATCTTAAGAATAGACTATAAGTAGTTTTTAATTACAAGTAGTCAACAACTTGGTGTTTTTCTTCTAGTTACTCGAGTTCGATCACAAGGTTATGTCAATGTGACCTTCAATATAATAACGAAAGATATGAAGAAACTGGGCTACAATGTGGGATCACCAAAACAAGTGGCTGGAAGTGGCTGGACCAATAGTTAATGTTTTGTGATAGACACAAAACTACTGTTTATTGCAAAAAGACTTTTACTAAAGAAAATTATCATCAACATTGAAGCTAACCATCCATGTTGTATTTCACTGTAAGAAATAGAATGTTTTCTTCATGATCACATAATTTTTTATAAACCTGGTTTCAGAGTGTTTGGGTTAATCAGAATAAAGACAAAAATGGACATTACAATATAACTACAGAGACAGATAGAACTCTGTGGAAATGTATTTGTACATTTCAAGGTTCATAAAACCTTTAACTGAATTCCTAGATAGTGATGATACTTAATGCATCCTGCTTTACTGGGAAATGTCAACAAGCACACCTGAGAAAAAAAAAAGGGAAAAATAAGTTTTCTATTTTAAGAAAGCTTGAATTACTGTGTTTCATGAATTGGAATTTGTTGAATAATCAACACTAACACATAAACTTAGAACTGTGTACGTTAAGCACAACTCACAGAACGAATTTCTTTTCTCAGGTGTCTGATTCAATCAAAAATTGTTATGTTGCAACTTCAACTCTTGTACAAATAACTTCAAACCAAAAATTGATATCCTTGGATTATGCAGATTTGAGTTAATGTGTTATTTACAATAATTTGAAACATCAGTTTATCTCAATTGTACGTAATGTTTAAAAAATAGAAACATAATAATCTGATAAAAAGATACAGAAAGTTGATTAAATGATAAGTCTGTAGTTTTACAAGAGTAATAAGAACTTTCTTGCACCGACACATCTTTTGTTGTTTTTTTTGTTATGAGACAAACATCCGATAGAAGTATTTACTTATGATAAAGTTGTGGGGGATCAGATAAATACTTTGATAAAGTTGTGGGCATTGGATAACACTTATAATAAGTTTTTGGGATTGAATAAGCACTTATGATAAAGTTGTGGGGATCGGATAAGTACTTATGATAAAATTCTTGGAATCAGATATGAACTGAAAGCAAACTTGTAGGGATCAGTATTGTGAGATAAAAAGCAATTAAAATTGTCTGATTAAAAATTTTATTGTGTAATTTGAATAATTTTTCATTGAACACTATTAAATGTACAATGTGCATGAATTAACAAAATCTAGTTATTAATTAGTTACTAGCAATTTTTTACTAGATACTAATTATTAACCAGTTTTTATCCTATATTTCAACTGCTAATCAGCTATCATTTTCAGGGAAGTCTTAAGAAGGGCTGTTTCTGTGGTGGTAATGGCAGGGATTTGAGCTTTGGTCTCCATGATAGAGATACTAGTATGTTATTCATTGTCTGGGCATCTCCTACATTTGGATTTCTAAGCTAGGTTGATGTAGTATTTTATTCATTTGTCTGGGCATCTCTCACACTTGGATCTCTAAGCTAGGTTGATGTAGTATATTATTCATTTGTCTGGGCATCTCTCACACTTGGATCTCTAAGCTAGGTTGATGTAGTATGTTATTCATTTGTCTGGGCATCTCTCACATTTGCATCTTTAAGCTAGGGTGATATAGTATTTTATTCATTTGTCTGGGCATCTCTCACATTTGCATCTTTAAGCTAGGGTGATATAGTATTTTATTCATTTGTCTGGGCATCTCCCACATTTGGATCTCTAAGCTAGGTGATATAGTATATTATTCATTGTCTGGGCATCTCCCACATTTGCATCTTTAAGCTAGGTTGATATAGTATATTATTCATTTGTCTGGGCATCTCCCACATTTGGATCTCTAAGCTAGGTTGATATAGTATATTATTCATTGTCTGGGCATCTCCCACATTTGCATCTTTAAGCTAGGGTGATATAGTATATTATTCATTGTCTGGGCATCTCCCACACTTGGATCTCTAAGCTAGGTTGAAGTTGTTTGTTACTCATTTGTCTGGGATTCTCCCATGTTAGGATCACTCTGCTAGATTGATGCAGCAACATTCATTTGTTTCAGATTCTGCCCTGTTAGGATCACTGTGCTAGGTTGACGTTGTATGTTATTCATTGTCTGGGCATCAATACTACATCAACCTAGCACAGTGATCCTTACAGGATTGATGCCCATACAAATGAATAACATACAACGTCAACCTAGCTAAGAGATCCAAGTGTGGGATTATTCATTTGTCTGGGCATCTCCCACACTTGGATCTCTAAGCTAGGTTAAAGTTGTATGTTATTCATTTGTCTGGGCATCAATCTTGTTAGGATCAGTGTGCTAGATTGATGTAGTATTTTATTCATTTGTATTTATCTTTTTTATCAAGTGTTCTGGGTATCCATTATCTATGGGGGTTGTTGTGATAAATTCTTTTTTTTCTTCTTAGCATCTTTGGTATTATGAATCTTGTTCATTCTTGAGACTAGACAATCTATGTTACCCATTTTTACACTGATTGGGTGATTTAATTTCAAGTAAAGATATTTACCACTATATATGGTTTCTTGTAAAATCCTATGATGTCAGAAAGTCGTGTAGTTATAGTTTACTCTGCCATATTGGATGTTAAGTGCTTGCTTCTGTCTTAGGTATCCCCATCACACTAAACATGCTCGCCCTTTCAGCCATGGGGGCATTATAATGTGACGGTCAATCCCACTATTTGTTGGTAAAAGAGTAGCCCAAGAGTTGGTGGTGGGTGGTGATAACTAGCTGCCTCCCCTCTAGTCTCACACTGCTATATTAGAAACGGCTAGGGTAGATAGCCCTCCTGTAGCCTTTTGCGAAATTCAAAACAAACAAACCATCTTAGGTGAAAAACGACAAATTTATCTTCTAATAGCATATTCCCTGATGCTGAAAATAATCTCATCTTTATGCATAAAAAAAGACATATTGATAAACAAAATAATCGTATATTTTGCCAAAGGTGATGTTTATGCCATTGTCAGAATGTAAAGTATTACCAATGCTTGTACTGATATGAAGGGAATGTTTGATGTCCAATATGGCAGTGTTAAGTGAAATTTAAATGTTTGTGACATCACGAGCAAGACTTCTTTACCTTTACGATTTGTGTGTCTTGTTGTCTATGGTGTGTATCATGGGATATTATTGGTTTAAAGAAGTGTATCATGGGATATTATTGATTTATATCAGATTAGTAATGCTTTTTCTTTTATTTCCTTACTACTACTACTACTAATTGTAAGCTTGAAATATGTGTGAACCAAAACATGTATAGCAGACCAATCCCAATTTTCTTAATATTGTTTTTGTAGCACAACTGAAAAGACAAAACATTTTTATCATTTTGATGAGTTATTGTGCAGTCTAACACATGTTGTGGGGTTTTTTAAAATCAAAGTATGATAGTAAAATTAATAAGTTCAAATATTACATAAATACTGTGGTTTCCTAGAACTAAAACCAAGTAGGCTTGCATCAAATCCAGCGGAAACTATTCTCCAATTCCTAACAATAAACTAGTTAAAAATAGCTGGTGAATACTACTGACTTTCATACACGTGCAAGGTGACAAAGGAAATGTATTAGAAATTAAGTTTTTCAAGTGTTTTAATGATAGCAAAGTTTGATTCAGATTTTATGATTATGACACATGATTTAAAAAATAAAAATAAGAAGTTTCATTGTGTAAAATTATACAGAGTACGCTAGGAGCTTGTATACAAATTGAATTTTGCAATAGACAAAACGTCAAACTGTAACATGGTGAAGAAATACAAATTCTAGATAAATATAGAATCATGTTGACATCATTCGATTACCTGAAGCTAGGGTGGTTTGTTGATTGTAATATTAATGGGACAGAAAATGCTTAGCGACCCTTACTTTCTGAGGTACTGAGCAGAGTTCCACAACAAGAGACGACTGTAGGGTATTGGATGAGAGACGTTTTAACGAAAACATCTTGCTAAAACTAATAATACTTTGACAAACGTACAAAAAATTTATTCGTAGCTTATATAATTTTATGGCTAATCGATTGACTAACTAAGTGTACGTGCATGGTAACCAGTGCTTGAAGTGGGCGAGATACCACCCTACTTCTTTTCAGGAAGACTCGAAATCAGAAGGGAATGGTTCAATAGACGTTGCAATAAATATTTACAGCAGCAAGGGACTGGAGAGAGAAACAATATTTTTTTCCTCCAGCCTGGTGGTTAAGGCACTTGTGTCGCAATCTGAAGGTCGCAGTTTCCAATCTCCGTTACTGAACATGTGGTGGGTAGTATTGACTAGTTGCTTTCTCTTGTCACTGCTAAATTAGGATTGCTAGTGCAGATAGTCCTTATGTAACTTTGCGCAAAATTCAAACCAAACCATTTTTTTCATCTTACAATATGTAAGAGCTAGGCAGGAATGAGACAAAGTAGTATACAAATGGAGCAAAAGAACCCTGTTGCTAGGGGTCGGTCGATTTGTTCGTGACTGCAAAGTAACCATTAAAGTTTCCATACTAAACTCGTAACAGTATACTTATGTTAATACTTAATTTTATTGCCCATTGAACCGTGTATAACTGAATATTCTGCTTCACAATCACTCAGCGAACGTGCAGCTCAGGTTACGGTATCGAATTACGTAACGCACGAGTTGCTCGCGAGTACACCTTGTGAAGAGTATTATTATTATTTGCATTATGTTGCATAATCTAACCTAATAAATTTATAATTTTTTACATTTTAGATACTTTTATAATAATAAATAGAGTACTCAGGTTAAAAAATTTCACAAACCATCCAACTCCCCCCCACTTATAGCACTGGCGATAACTAATACGAATCCAACAAAACTGAAACTAAATATTTCATTGAATGACTTGTTCTCTACCAATAGAAACCACCTGACTCGATGCTTCATAGATTTTCATATTCATAATGTAGCCTTGACTCCTAGATACCTCGTAAAGTCTCCTGATCATTCCAGAATATTATAGGATTTCCTTAATCATGTTTTCATGCTCCCTCTAGACAACATCCAAATTAAAACATTGAAAATATAGCTTACAAGTTCCAACACTATTGTTACATACGTGTCTGTTTGTTAATTTCCCGTAGAAATTCTTTCCGAGAAACTTCAGCGATACAAGTACTTTCTTGATTGAAATTAGTTTATTATTTTTCGATACAAACTTTGTAATACACAGAATTTCCACAGTCAATACGTTCCTCGTATCTTTAAACCTAACGACTTTTATAAACACGCGCCATAATCACAGCGATTCACAAGCTGGATAACTTCGCTCTATGCGACTGCAACACAGAAACAGAATCGACTTACCGTGACTCAATTATCTATCTATCTGCCGCTGGTTCTGTTCTGTTCTTGGCAGTTATTTTGATTTAAACATAATTATCTCCTAGGAAATAATTACTAATCAAGGGTGCTCGAAGATTAAACAATCCTCCTCACCCTGCTCGTGGCATAAGGTTAAATTTCAATTAATGGTCAGCGGAATAATGAGCCGTATGGGTAAGAAGAAGTAATAATAATAATTAATTGATTTAAAAAAAGTACATTTATATATTTCCGTATATATATATGTATGATGGCCGCTGGCTTTCTTTGCCAGGCTTATATATACTAAAAAAGAGGGCATCTAGATTACACTCGAGCTGGTAAGCAAATTCGTGATCCTTCGAGAAACTCCGGCATGCATGCTTCCAGGGTCGCATGACTTCCGCTATCGTAACACTATCTTAACTCAAAAAATAAATCAAAGAAATCCAAAGGTATCTTTTTCTATAATAAACCAACTTATTATATTTGTGGTCAAGGTTATATTTCACAGAGTAAATATAGTTTAGGCCCAACTGGGTAGAAAATATTTTTCATAAACTATACATATAGTTCATATAATACTTTTATGCATTGTTTGAATTTGTTTTCAACACATGTATGTTAGAGAAACACAACCTACGTTTAGGAATAAATTTACATAATACTCAGGAAAAGGATGCAAATAATTACCTGTTAACAAACACAAGTGTATTATGGAAAAATATCCTACTTTACAAGAACCTTCTTTTATCAGATATTTCCATTTAAGTGTTCTTGTAAAAACCAAAATTTAAAACCATATAAAATGTTACATAGTTTATCACATAGTTTGTAAAGTGGTGATTATTTTCTTATTGCAAAGTTACACAATGTGATATTTGCAATTGGGTTCATCAGAACCCTGGATTTTAGCGTTGTGAGTTTGCAAACCTACCACTGACTCATTGGAAGACCACATAGATATATCTTAACCACATATATATGGCTTTAAGGTAAAAACAGGATTTTTTCATTCTTGTGTAGGTATTATAAAAGAAGTGTCTTATTTTCAGTGGCGTAGTGGTAAAAATGTTTGTGCTAGAACGTTAAATATATCCTAATAAATGTACGACCCTTGAGTTATACACTCACATGTAGGCAGCATTTCGGGTATTTAATTTGTTTATAATTACAACCATTATCATTTCAGTTTATATAAGCAGTTGGAATATTTGAGCCATAAAAAAACTGACGTATTATTCACATTTTATTTAACATTTCCACATCATATTATTTATGTTTATTTTTAAGTCATAATTTTAAACATAGATTGATTTTATTGTTTTCAAATACAGAATTTTAAACACAAAAAATTAATACTATAAACTACTTTATTTACAATTCAAGTATATTTTACAAATACATGTACTTAATGTAATCACCCCTAAAGAAAAAGTACAGGAGCGGCATTATTTGCTTTTGAAACTAAATGTTATCCTTGTGGATAGGAAACTGTTTTTTATGTGTGTGGGTGTATGTTATGTTTTAAAGTTAAACATTTTGATTTTGTTTCATTTCATTACATAATATGAACAGTTCTTAAACTATATATAATAAAGTTTTTGTAATAACGTACGTGTTATGTTGTTCCTTATCCGACATCTAGCGTCAGTGAGCAAGATGTCGGATAAGATTGAGAATCAGAGCGGTAAAGTTAAACATACTGGTGGCTGTCACTGCGGTGCTGTTCGGTTTGAAGTGTTTGCACAACCAGATTTAATTATTTACAACTGCAAGTAAGTTACTGTGGGAAGATTTGCTTACACAAAGTGCGAGAGCGCCTTAGTTTCGAATAAGTAGTATCGTGTTTATGTAGTTTGTTAATATTATTATTCACCTATTGTTTCTTACGTTATTCTAATGACGTAAAGTAACTTGGATAGCATTACTAATTACTAAATTAGTATTACTAATAGTAATGCTACACAAGTTACGGCTTAAAACTGCTTATGTTTTACTGTAAAATAACTACTTAAACGTTTTTTTTAGTTTAGTTTGAGTAGTTATTCCACTGTTTTCATAAGATTATGAGGCATTTTTATTAGGCATCATGTATGGGAAATGAATATTGTATCGCTGACAAGTTTACACTCCTCGTTACAATCGAATATCCACATTCAGTGTGAATATTTGTATTTCGCTTCTGCAGATATTTCAGATAATGAAGTCTAGTACTTTTCTATTTTTCCTAGTTTTATGATAAATATTTGGAAAGACAGGAGAAATTCCTGTGTTACTGTTATGTTGTACCACTACCAGATATTTAATGTTTTTACCCCAAAACATAAGCTAATATTTTTATAAGTATTTGACAGTTGTGTTTCTTTGCACAGTCAAGCATCTATTGGGGGATATCCTCAAACTATTATAAAACAAATTTGAGGGTAACAAACTGCACTGAGATTGATTAATGCCTATTGTGTGCACAAAAGCATTAGAGAAAGCCACCATTAGAGGGGTGGGGGCATCATCACTGATCTCTATTCTGTCGCTTGAGACTGGACCTTAGCATGGTGCGGCGGTTTGCGTACCTCTCTGACCCATCGAGCTATACGGGATGGTGTTCCCGCGAATACCAGTAGAGACACTCATACCCGGCAGGTCAATGGATAGAGGTCAGACCAACTCAGTCTCATCCCGCTGCCTTGCGGGTTAGGCTTTTTAGCCAAAGGCTTTGGCTGAGGACCCTAATTGTTCTCCTGTCTAGACCTGAGCAACCTGGCAGTATCCCAGCCCACACACAATCATGAACTCTTCTTCTCATGAACTATACTGAACTGGATTGAGCACTGACCCTTTCACTTGAAGCAGGGATGAGTACCGGAAGTTATTTTTTAAGGCGGTAGTAATACTGGTCGTATTTGAGCTGATTTATCATTTTTTATGTTTACACATAGATTATTTTTTTTTCCAAAATGGGTTCACTTCACCCAGCTGAGTACCTCTACTTTTTTTTTTTTGAGAATTTCACCCTGACTTGAAGTCAATTGAAGTTATAAAAGTGGCTATCTTGTTCGTTCCCTGTCATAATTTCAATTTCTTAGATGTAATTTAGTTTCAAATTTTTGTAACCAGTATCTAATGTAGAACAGCCAATGTCTTGAAGAAAAGGTTTGGTAGAATAAATCAAATTGTTCATCTGAGAGAGAATGTTTAGCCCTGTATTTTCATTACTGAGCTCCTATGAAAGGTATGTTATCATTATGATTTAAGAGTATAATGTCCTAATCAAATATTTATTTACACTAGTTGAAAATTGAAGTGTTTATTCTGAGAATGTCTGTTGCTACTTGACTGTTGAGTTTTGGGTGAATATATTGTTTCATAATTTTTTAATTGTTGGAGTCTTTTGCTGGATAGTTTGTTATAAAAAAATGAGTGTAAATTAAATTAAATACTCCTAGTAATTTATCCTGTTATTTTTAAGAATTATTTCTGTATGTAAGCCGAAACAGTGGTGCTTGTTGCTATGTCTGTCTATAGAAACAGACTATATTTTTCTTCCTTAGTAGCACTGTAACATGTCTGTGGAAGTTAATAAGAAATCTGTAATAATAATAATAGGGAAGGTGTGTCATATCTCCAACATGAAAGAGCCTATAAATCTGAAATTTTGTGCCCATACTAAGTGGACCCTGAGGGTGTGCACCTGAGTATTATTACTTATCCACGTGCATGCATAATGAGGCAAGCTAGAGAAAAACCACATAGAAATGAAGTGATTCTTTATATTACAAATAGAAATCACAGACAGATATTTTAGATTTTTTTCACCTGTTATATGTGCACTGCTAAGTTTTTATGATAACCATTTTAAAATTTATTGTTAGTTGGTTTGTACAAGGAAATTTTGTTTTCAGCTGTAGCATTTGCACAATGAAGAAGAATTCTCACTTTGTTGTAAGGGATGAAGATTTTCGACTTTTGCAAGGAGAAGATAATCTAACTTTGTACACATTTAATACCCATATGGCCAAGCATTACTTTTGTAAGACTTGTGGTGTTCAAAGTTTTTACAAACCTCGCTCAAATCAACAGGGAATTGGTATGTTCACACGTGGCTATACTTTATGTCCAGTTAGTTTTTTTATATGCTTAAAATGTCAATGTTGTAAATATGAAACTAAGTGCCCACTAGTGGCAGGTTTGAGGGCTTGTAACATTAAAATTTGGAGCATAGTACAGATAGCTTATTGTGCAGCTTTGTGGTTTACAGCAATTTAACCAGTTTTCAAAAGTAGAGGTTCCTAAAATTAATCACCACTTTTCTTTAATTGTGACATTTTATGTTTATATTGCAATAATGGATATTATAATTCATTAATTCAGGTGTTAACCACAACTGTCTGGAATCTGGAACAGTAAGATCAATTGAGGAGCGGAATTTTGATGGCCAGAATTGGGAACTTTCTATGGATATTGGGGGAGCTCTAGAACTATCATAAATTAACCAATAAAATGTTTAGAACTTACCTAGTAAACGGTAAATATTTTCAGATGAATTTATATATATATATATATATATTTATTTTTTTTGTCTCTATTTTACAGTATTTGTTCAACATACATTTATGGAATATTAAACTGTTTTTTAGTGAAAATATTATATTCAAATTTCAATCAATGCATTGACAAATATATATTAATTTTATGATTAAACAAATGTCTTGAGTGATCTCTGTATCAGTTTTCACATTTATAACAATACAAAAGTCTTCTTAGTAAGGTCAGTTCTGTAAACTACCTTATGCTAGTGAAGAATACAAGTTTATCTAATACAACTAATACCTTATACTAGTGAAGAATACAAGTTTACCTAATAAAACTACTACCTTCTAGTGAAGAATACAAGTTTATCTAATACAACTAATACCTTATACTAGTGAAGAATACAAGTTTACCTAATAAAACTACTACCTTCTAGTGAAGAATACAAGTTTATCTAATACAACTACTACCTTATACTAGTGAAGAATACAACTACTACCTTCTAGTGAAGAATACAAGTTTATCTAATACAACTACTACCTTATACTAGTGAAGAATACAAGTTTACCTAATACAACTACTTCTAGAGAAGAATACAAGTTTACCTAATACAACTACTACCTTCTAGTGAAGAATACAAGTTTATCTAATACAACTACTACCTTCTAGTGAAGAATACAAGTTTATCTAATACAACTACTACCCTCTAGTGAAGAATACAAGTTTATCTAATACAACTACTACCTTCTAGTGAAGAATACAAGTTTATCTAATACAACTACTACCTTATTTTAATGAGGAATACAAGTTTACCTAATACAACTACTACATTATACTAGGGAAGAGCACAAGTTTATTTGGTGAAACTACATTATACTAGTGAAGAGTATGAGTTTAGATAATAAAACATTATACAAGTGAATAGCACAAGTTTATTTAGTAGAACTGTTATACTAGTGAAGAGTATGAGTTTAGATAATAAAACATTATACAAGTGAATAGCACAAGTTTATTTAGTAGAACTGTTATACTAGTGAAGAGCACAAGCTTATATAATAAAACTACATTGAACTAGTGAATAGCACAAGTTTATTTAGTAATACAACATTATAGTAGTGAGTTGCACAAGTTTATTTAGTAAGACTACATCATAGTGAATAGCACAAGTTTATTTAGTAAGACTACATCATAGTAGTGAGTAGCACAAGTTTATTTAGTAAGACTACATCATAGTAATGAATAGCACAAGTTTATTTAGTAAGACTACATTATAGTAGTGAATAGCACAAGTTTATATAGTAAGACTACATTATAGTAGTGAATAGCACAAGTTTATTTAGTAAGATTACATTATAGTAGTGAATAGCACAAGTTTATTTAGTAAAACTACATCATAGTAGTGAATAGCACAAGTTTATTTAGTAAGACTACATTATAGTAGTGAATAGCACAAGTTTATTTAGTAAAACTACATTATACTAGTGAAGGGTAGAAATTTGTATGCGAAAATAACATGTCTGGTAGCATTTTGCTACAAGTTATTTGATGCAGTAGCATTTCATTGATACCTTAAATAGAGCATGTGTGAATGCATACTTGGTTAAATGGGAATACTTTATAATTTGTGGAGAAGTTAAACATTTTTTAATTCACATAATACTAAGTGGAGCATAGTACACATAATAACAAACAAATAAAATGATTGAACTCCAAAGAATCTTACAAGTTTTTATTTGTTTAATATTTCAGCTTTACATCTTCATCAGGATACAATTTATGTAATGAAATATCGCTCATGATCCTGTTGAAGCAAAAAGCCAAACTGTTTAGCAAATAAAAACAACTTGTAAAACATTTTAGGCACTCGTCACATCTTTGGGAACACCTATTCACAGACAGGTGGGTCATTCTGGTCCTCTCCCCCTATCTCTCAGCCCACACCCGGTTCACTTCACTCCTCCCTTGCATTCCAGTTATCTTCAGTGTTTGGAAGATGCAGTGTTAGATCTCTTACACAAACAGGCCAATAGAGAGGGTGCACCATCCTTTGTCGAGGTTTTACTCTAACCTCCTTGTCGTCCCCAAGAAGACCAGGGATTGGTGGCTAGTCATTGATCCTTCCTCTTTTAATTGTTACTTGGTCACCACTCATTTTCCTTGCTTGAAAATATATTTCCGATAGATACTTCCCACCCATTTACAGTGCACCTCATCAAGAATGAAGATCACGAATGCAAAAGGATAGAGGGAGCTAGTACACAGGGAGGTTGTTTTGCCCTCCAATTGGCGGAGGGCTATTGTTGCATAATGACATCATTATGGAGGAGCACAAATCACGAGAAATCTTGTGAATTCAGGTGAGTTGCCTAAAGACTAGTGGCTTGCACATATCTAAGGCAGATTCATGGGGAAAGATAGCTTTCTGTGTGAGAGGCGAGTATCTATTGGAAATACATTTTCAGGTAAGTATAATGTTAACTTTCATCTGCAATATGTAGTATAGTTTTTGTTCTTTTTACTACATTTTGTATGAAAAAGAAATATGAATATTATTGGTTTAATAAGTATTTGTAGTATATGTAAAAATTATTGAACGAGATTCATAAGCAGTTTTGCATAATTTTTTAGTCTACTGTATGGTAATGTGTGTTAGTTATCCAACCCATTTGAAGCTACAATTAAAAGGTTTGCTTTTTATATACAGATTTTTTATATATTTATATAACAACTAGTGAATAAGAATGTTGCTACCACCTTTCGAGCCAGTTAGTAAATAATCACTACTAACTTAAATGCTTAGGTAACAATACTAATTTGTACTAGTGAAGAGTGAATGTTCATGTAATGATACTACTTTATTGTAGTTAAGAGCAAATGTTCATGTAATGATACTACTTTATTCTAGTTAAGAGCAAATGTTCATGTATTTATACTACTTTATTCTAGTCATGTAATGATACTACTTTATTCTAGTTAAGAGTGAATGTTCATGTAATTATACTATATTCTAGTGAAGAGTGAATGTTCATGTAATGATACTACTTTATTCTAGTGAAGAGTGAATGTTCATGTAATGATACTACTTTATTCTAGTGAAGAGTGAATGTTCAT